AGGAGAAAGTACTGTAATCATGATGTTCACAGCTAACGCTGAGTGAGTGCTCGCTAAGGACGTTCCACACATTCACTCATTAGCCCTCCCAGCAACTCCAAGGAGTCGTCCTGCTCTTATTCCACCCATTCTATACTTGAGGGATTTGAGACATTAGGGTTGTTGAGGAACCTGCCTGAGGTCACCTAGCTGGTAATAGCGGAGTTACCCAGGCAGCGTGGTTCCAGTGTCCAAGTGCTCATGAGTGCATGACCTCTCCATCTTACTGTCACGGCTGTACTTCCTTATCCTCCAGGGGGCGCAGCACAATACCAAACGCACAATAGGTTCTCACTGGACTCATTGATTCTCTCCATATTGACATTGGCATCTACAGGGGCACAGTGCCCCCAGATCTCTGCATGCAAGCTCCCTTACTTGGAAGGGGTTTCTGCTGCAATCTCACTTTCTCTGTGAAGAGGTCTCCTACTGCCTCTGTAGAACAGCACCCTCCTTCGCTGCCCAGCTCCTTCCCCTTATATTTCTTCATAGTATTTACCATCTGACATACACTTTTTGTTCTCTTGCCCCCAACAGACTAAAATGGCTGTTGTATGAAAGGAGAGGCTTTGCCTGTTGTGTTTGCTGCTGTATCCACAGCACCTACAACATTCCTAGGCATATAGTAGATGCCCACTAAGTGTGTGGAAGAAGTGAATACACCCCTTAGCTGAGTGCTATATTCAAATTTCCTTACTCTGGTTATTGGCTACTACTTTTTCTCACCACTACATTAAAACAAACAAACAAAAAACCTTTCTCTGAATGACCAGGGACCTTTATCCAGAAGTAGGGCATAGCGCTTGACAGAGGGGCAATGTACTGGGGATCGATCCTCAGCTAATGCCTATCAGAGGTTTATTGTTAACTGGACTAGGTCCCTCATAGTATTTGGTTTTAATTTTGCTTTGTTGGTCTCTGAAAGTAACTCAATGTCATGATCATGTACATAGTTAATGAAGTTAATTTATATTTAGCTTGGCTATAAATCACATAGTAAATTACAAATGATATTTTTAGAAACATACTACAGACAACACAATGGTAGGTTTTTGCACAAAAATGAACAGAAGTTGATTCTCTCCCCATAACCACTATTCATGAGTTGAAACAGTTAGTTTTAATGAAAATGTATTAAAAACTTAGCAACTGCTCTCATTCCATAGAAAATGAAGCCACAGCTGGGCGTGGTGGCTCATGCCTGTAATCCCAGCACTTTGGGAGGCTGAGGTGGGCAGATCACCAGAGTAGATCACCAGATCACCAATTTAGACCAGAGTTGTCCAGTCAAACTTTTGCAATGGTGGAAATTATATCTGTGCTGTCCAATACAGTAGCCACTAGCCACATGTGGCTATTGGGTCCTTGAAATGTGGCTAGTGTGACTGAGGGGCTAAATTTTCATTTAACTTAAATCTAAACAGCTACTGGTGGCTAGTGGCTACTCCATCAGAGAGCACAGATATTTTCTTCAAGGGTGTGGCTCTTAGATTCTGGACCTCATTAGAGATCTCAGACTTGGAATGTAGGAAATTAAAAGCTGTTCTAAAGTGGAACGAACAGCTGAGACTTCCATGTGGACAGCCTCTTTTCTTGTCTCAGGAGTTCAAGACCAGCCTGGCCAATATGGCAAAACTTCGTGTCTACTAAAAAATACAAAAATTAGCTGGGCATGGTGGTGGATGCCTGTAAATCCCAGCTACTCAGGAGGCTGAGGCAGGGAGAATTGCTTGAACCCAGGAGGCAGAGGTTGCAGTGAGCAGAGATTGCACCACTGCACTCCAGCCTGAGTGACAAGAGTGGGACTCCATCTCAAAAAAAAAAAAAAGAAAGAAAAGAAAAGAAAAAGAAAATGAAGCCACATAGTAACTATAGATAGAAACATATTTAAGTTACTGTTCACATCCCTTTGCCTAAAACCTATTCCTTTCTCACCATATAGATAGTTGTTTATAATTTTTGAGACCTCCACCCCTTGACTCCCAATTGCAAACTGTAGGACATGGAGCAGTTGCCTAGTTTGACATTTTATGAAGAAATCTATTGCTGTATTGCAATTAGGCATTTCAGGCTGTTATGGTTACATTAGACTTGAGAGAGGCTCATTCCCTAAACCCTGAAAATCAGCTTTGAGAAATTTGATCCCCCTCACCCCTCATCTAGGCTTAAACTCATGCACAGACCCTATACAACTAGACAGGCTGAGGCAGAAAGAAACACCTTTCTGTTGCTGGGGGTTGGGGATAGAACAGATGTCTCTGAATTAGGAAGGATGTCTTGCAGAACACTATCCTCTATGCCTGTCACCAGTTCTCATGTCCCCAAACTCCTCATATCTCACAATTGAGTGCTGCCACTCTCACCACTGAATCCCAGCGCCAGCCTCCTGAACACTTCAACAAGAGACTGTGCCATTGTTCACTGCAGTCTTGTTCAACACTTGGTCAGATTTTTAAGACTATATAGCATTTTTTTTTCCCCTTGAGACAGAGTCTCACTCTGTCACCCAGGCTGGAGTGCAGTGGTGCTCTCTTGGCTCACTGCAACCTCCACCTCCTGGGTTCAAGCAGTTCTCCTGCCTCAGCTTCCCGAGTAGCTTGGATTACAGGTGTGCACCACCATGCCTAATTTTTGTATTTTTAGTAGAGACATGGTTTGTCCATGTTGACCAGGCTGCTCTCAAACTCCTGACCTCAAGTGATCTGCCTACCTTGGCCTCCCAAAGTGCTGGGATTACAGGAATGAGCCATCACACCTGGCCTATACAGCATGATTTTATATTATGCACCCTTATGCCATATAAAAATGCCATGATATTATATATTCTTTAAACTTTTTGGCCTAGGGGGATGGGGTTCAATTAGGGATTACATGACACACATATAAAAATGAATTTAGACCAGAGTTGTCCAGTCAAACTTTTGCAATGGTGGAAATTATATCTGCGCTGCCCAATACAGTAGCCGCTAGCTGCATGTGGCTATTGGATCCTTGAAATGTGGCTAGTGTGACTGAGGGGCTAAAAATTTATCAATTTTTAATTAACTTAAATCTAAACAGCTACTGGTGGCTTGTGGCTATTCTATCAGAGAGCACGGATATTTTCTTCAAGGGTGTGGCTCTTAAATACTGGACTTCACTGGGTATCTCAGATTTGGAGTGTAAGAAATTTAAAACTGTTCTAGAAAATCAAACACTGAATGTTCTCACTCATAGGCAGGTGTTGAACAATGAGAACACATGGACACAGGGAGGGGAGCATCACACACTGGGGTCTGTTGCGGGGAAATAAGGGAGGGACAGCGGGGGGTGGGGAGTTGGGGAGAGACAGCATGGGGAGAAATGCCAGATATAGGTGAAGGGGAGGAAGGCAGCAAATCACACTGCCATGTGTGTACCTATGCAACAGTCTTGCATGTTCTTCACATGTACCCCAAAACCTAAAATGCAATTTAAAAAAACCACTGCCTTATTAAAAAAAAGAAATTTAAAACTGTTCTAAAGTGGATCTTGAATAAGACCCTGAGACTTCCATGTGGCTAGTCTCTTTTCTTGTCTCAAAATAGGGTGATCTTTTTGGAGAAGGACAAGCAGGCATCACATAGGGATGGCTCATAAAGAGGTTGCTACGTTTAAAACAATTCAGAGGTCTGACTTGCAAATGGGAAGTCAGAGATGGTTGAGTCTATCACTGTTCGCTCACTGGCCCTGTTCACACCATCATCCGGTCTTATTTTCAATGCTGGGAAATTTTACCCTGACCTTGTTTAGGAAGTAGAGGCAAGCATTTGCCTGGGAGATCCTATCCTTTTTAGGAGTTTTTAAAGATTTGGACATCAGAATAAATGAGCTTCTTTAAAGCCACATACAAATTAACTTCAACAGACCCAGCCAGGGAAGTAGCTGCTCAAGTATCTCGGGCAGTGGAGAAGCTCAGTCACTACTCAGCAGAATGGAGTGGGGGAGTTCTGACCTGACATGGAGGAAGCTTTATAAAGCTCGCCAAAAGGTGGGAACAAAAAGAAAGAGAAAATGACACAATCTGTCAGACTTGGGACAAAGTGAGATATTTAAAAGTCGGGACTCAGAGGGCCATGGAATTCCAGACATATAGGGAGCTTCCTTCTATTCTTCCCAACCTGAGGACAGCACCAGTGGCAAGAGCAAGTGGCATACATACCCTGTGTTTGTGGAAGAGTCACCTTTCTTAGAACAAGAAGGTGAGCAGTACTGCTGCCTGGTGCAAGGTGTGCTAGTGCCACGCTAGCCATAGAAGAGTCACCAGAACTCCAGCCCCCACACTGGGTGATTCTGATTCTAGCAGATATGAGGTTGTGCCTGGCAATCCACATTTTTTAACAGGTGAGATTCTACTGTAAAACTAGGTCTGGGGGCTCCTGCCAAGACTGAAAGAAACAACTTTTCTTATTAGGAGAAGGGTCCAGGAGGAGCTAAACAGCACCAGTCATACTAGAACTGAGGTCCTCGGGCCGAGGGATCAGCGTAAAAGAACTCTCTGCCCAGACCCTACGGTGATGCATATGGCATCATCACAACTTATACCTAACGCAAGAAAGAAGGGGCTTAGCTGCTGGTTGTCTACTTTCCACCAATTCTTTTCTTCTTCTTCTTCTTTTTTTTACTTTTTAAATGGTTTTATGTTATGTGCAAATAATGAACAGATGTTGTACCCATAAATTCTACTTTCCAAAAATAGGAGCTTTTTAAAAGAAAACCATGTAACTTTTAAAAGGTATTGGGATTCCTCTGCTTCTAGATCATTGGTAGGCTAGAAAAATAAAGTTTGTTCTACCAGGAATCACAAGTTGGAACTGAGTGTGCTCCAAAGTGGAAATTCTAGAGTGTAGTGTCACTGCAGGCAAAGAGTATTCAGTTCTCCTCCCCAACCTTCAAAACTACCTATCAGAAGGGTTAAACCAGGTCAAAACAGTCCAGCGCAATTAGGCTTCATCAAACAATTTCATTATGCTCTTCTGAGATGCAAATAAACCAAAACAGGAAGTACTAAAATCAAAATAGTACTTGACACTGTCATACAAATTGTTATTTCCTTATCATATTCCCTCTTCTATAACATTAATAAAGGGAATATTTTACTGCAAAGAATATATTATTTTATACATCACTAACCATGAATTTTTGCCATTACTTATTATACAAAGGCTGCCTTGTGCCATTATCCAAATGGAATAAGCATTTTACATTCACAATTCACTTCTATAGTTATAAGCAGAATTTTCATGATTTGCATAAGTACATCTGTCAGTGAAGATTTAACACTGAGATGCAGTATAACATCAGTAATATCTGATGTTTTATAGATGGCAATGTAGAAAAGATATATTTTAATCACTTTTCATTTAAGTAACCTTATGTAAAAAATAAACTAATAACCTAGCAGTTCCAAGTTTCCAAAGGGCATTTTCAAATGCACATAAAAGAAATGTTTACAGAGATTTTTAAGAAGCGTCTTCCATGTCCACATCCTCTTCCAACTGCTGTACCAGTTTCTCTTCCAAATGCTTCCCTTTGCCTGCCAGAGGGGCTCGGATAAGATGGATGTTTTGCTTGACTTCTTCGATATCCTGAGCTTTCTGTAGCTCTTTATTTTTCTTCAGTCTGTTCATTATAAATTTAGCTTGGCGTTTCTGTTTGATCTCTTCAGCTCTCTTCATTGCATCAACAGTTTGATTCCATAGCTCTCGCTGGTATTTGATAGGTTCATTTCTACGCTTTTCAAATTCAAATGAATTATCCTCTGGACGCTCTTTACCAGCTGCTTTCCGGAATGCTTTGGTCCACCTAACTTTTCGAGGATTGTGCTTCTTTTTAAAGTTTTTATGACATTTAGATTTACAAAATCTGAACACCTTGCAATCATTGCGTACGAACATCATGCCGTGGCCAGGGTAGATGGGCCTGGAACGGAAATAACCCTTCTCCATACACATGTTGAACCCGCGTGGGTCCCCACTGACCAAATGCCCTCCACCAATTCTTAACAGGGTACGGACTTAGTTCATCATCTGAAACCAAACATTACTGTAGCAATTTTCTCTATACATGGTTGACAGATAATAGAAAAGGTATTTAAAAAATGAATAAAGAGGATTACATCTGTTCTTAGGTTAGGACCCCCTAAGAATGAACATTTGCTGCTAGTAATTAAGAAGCATAAAAAGGGATATTCCAAACAGAATCTTATTTTGGAATTTTAGTATTAACAGATGGCAGCTTCACCAGCCAAAGTCTTTTATGTGATAGGAAAATGTGGAGGGGAAATGACATTCAAATGCAGCCCAGGCACCCCATGAACTTAAGAGCTTACTCTGTTGTGCAGAGATTTTGTTTCATATTTGTGATAGCTGATAGCTGTGATGTTCAAGCTCAGAAGTAGGTATCCAACCTTGTTCCCACTTCCTTTTTTGAATCCACTGGGAACTCCGAGGGCTCAGAACTTGTATCTCTGTGGAAAACACTGGTGAGCTTTTTGGTGAAAGATTCCCCATTGGGCAAGATGTGGACAGGGAGGTTTTTGATCAATTCCACTGATACTGTGTCATCCTTAATAGGCCTCAGGGCCACAAAGTCTCTGAAGTCAGCCCAGACAGGAAGATTAAGAAGAAGAGAAGAGGCCAGGTGCGGTGGCTCACGCCTGTAATCCCAGCACTTCAGGAGGCTGAGGCGGGTGGATCACGAGGTCAAGAGATCGAGACCATCCTGGTAAACATGGTGAAACCCCGTCTCTACTAAAAATACAAAAAATTAGCTGGGCATGGTGGCGTGTGCCTGTAATCCCAGCTACTCAAAAGGCTGAAGCAGGAGAATTGCCTGAACCTAGGAGGCGGAGGTTGCGGTGAGCCGAGATCGTGCCATTGCTCTCCAGCCTGGGTAACAAGAGTGAAACTCCGTCTCAAAAAATAAAAAATAAAAATAAAAAAGAAGAAGAGAAGAAGAGCAATACCCTGTTTCACTGATGGGACGTGCTGCTCACATCAGTGAGCAAGTTTCCCAAGTTTGTTTTCTAGACACAAGCATGGACACAAAAATCCTTCTGCTTGAACATGTGTGGGCACAACTCACACTCAACAGTGATACCTACAGGCAGGTAATTAAGGCTCAGAGATGTAGGCAAGGCTCAGAAGCATTAGAGAAAGTGACTGAGGCTGACACCAGGTGGGGACAAAGCCTCCTCAACCCTCTTAGCGGATTTGCTCAGGGACAGTCCAGGTGGACAGAAGATCCAGCAACAGGTTTCTCTGTTCATGTTCAGATCCAGCGTGGCGGTAGCCCAGCGTATCCATGGTATCGCCACAGACTTTCTGAAGTCGAGAAACCTTTCCATAAGGCAAAGACCAGCGCCAAGCCTGGGAGACATTGAGGGCATTCCTGGCATTTGTGTGGAAGGCATGCTCACCCATGCCCTTGCCTCGAGTGATATTATGCACCCAGGTCTGGAGGTAGGGCAAGAATTCCAACCCCACGAATTCATACATTCGGGAAGTCTGGGCCACAGGGGCTCGAACCAGGTCCTCATAACGCACGAGCAGGTAGCGTTCCTGCAGGGCCTTGGGCAAGGACTGGATGGTCTTGTAGATCTCCAGCTGGCTTTGGCAGATGACCTGCATCACATAGTAGGGTTGGTCCTCCTTCTTGAGTGTGTGCCCGTGCTGCCCCATCACAATGCGACTGTCAATCATGAGATCCCCCTCTGTGCGTTCTCGGGAACGGAACACAGCCCGGGGGTCCCGGACCAGGTGCACGATGTGCAGGTTGAGGGAAGGGTCTTTCAGCAGTGGGTAGAGGGAATGCAGGTTGAAGAAGCGTACTTCCTTGAGCACCACGTGGCTGTAGGAGCGGCAGGCCTTCTCCACCATCTCGAAAGGCTGTTGACTGCACAGGAGCCTGCAGTGAGCCTGGTGGATGATTTCATCTCGTGGGAAGATGTTGCAGGCAGGTGTGGAACACAGGGCCCGGCTGTTTTCCCACTGGAAGAGGCTGGACTGTCTCCGGGGACCAGGTTCCATGTAGGCATCAAAGACGCTCATGTCACACAAGAAGATGGCCCGTATCAGATCCCGCACTGCCATGTGCAGAGTTCTGGCGGTGCTCTGCCTGAAGGTCATCCACACATGCCAGGCAGGCTCCATAAGGTAGAAGACATCTGGGTGTTGCCCAAAAAGCTGCCCCACAAAAGAAGAGCCGGAGCGCCAGGAAGACAGAATCAGCACGTGCATGTGCTTGGGCTGCGCCTTCACAGACAGGGAGCTGATGTTGTGGCTGTACAGGTAGACGAACAGAGCAAAGATGGCCATTTGGGAAACCAGAAACAGCAGGAGCCTCATTTTTTTTGGCAGTAGCATTGTGTTGAAGTGGAAGACCTTTAAGGAACAAGCAGAAAGGGCTGAGTTAGGCTGCTGTTTTAGTGTCTGCCTTCTATTCCCTTCTGGCCAAAGCCACCTGCTCTCTGACCCCTACCAAGGAGCAACATGGAAAGCCAGAGGATTCCTGCAAACACTGGCACCAATCCCGCTCTAAATCAATTCCTGTCCCTTAGACTTAGTGTGTTGATACTTTCTATTTCAAGGTCTTTAATTCCTCCTTCCTGATCTTTCTAAACCAAGCCACTCTGCCCATTGGTTTACCAAAAATATCTGAACTCAGCCATATTTAATCAACATAAGGAAATGGCTCCATCATGGCCCTGATGACAAGGATGTGTTCAGATGGGCCACTTAGGGGAAGCTTCACCTCATTCTGACTCAAGTCTTGGTTGAATGTCTTGTGATTCCTGCAGAAACAGGGAGATAGCTACCTAGTGGGGAACTGCCTTGAGACCACTGCTTACCCGCCCTCCATCATAAGGGAGGCTGCAGCCAAGACTGTGTCTCACCTCCCTCCCTCACTGCAGTTAAACATAGGACTTTCAACTCCAGTCCCACAAGGAATAGGGCTGCAGGCCATACAACTGCTTGGCTTTAGTTGGAGTTGTCTCCTTGAAGGCAGAACCAAGTGCCCATGGTGCTTGTCATCTATTTCTGTCAGCTGGTGTTTTGTTATCACTGTACAGTGAAAAGTCTACTTCCAGCACCTGACCTCACCTGCCCATTTCTCAACTTGCCCCAGATAGCAAAGCTCTTTGATTTGGTGTCATCCCATGGAACTAAGGCCATGGGGAGTTGTATCTGTGTAGGTGATAAACTCTCTGAATTTGAGCAGAATTAGAGTCATTTAAGCTATTAGAGTCTCCTTACCGGCTGACTCTGAGAAAGTGCTGCAAGCCACCCTAGGCACTACATATGTCAGAGCTGTGTCACTCTCATTGGGGATACTTGTGTCCCATGACTACGTGGGACAAACTACTCAGGACCGCTCAGTACAGTTGGGCAAGTGTGTATCACACAACCCTAGGGAATGCCATCCCATCAATAATTTAGATATTTATTTTTAAGATGTTTTTTGTAGGTGACAGTAAAGTATCTTAGCCCAATAAAGTACATATATGAAGGCTAGATGCAGCGGCTCATGCCTGTAATCCCAGCACTTTGGGAGACCGAGGAGGGTGGATCACCTGAGGTGAAAAGTTTGAGATCAGCCTGGCCAACAGGGCAAAACGCTGTCTCTACTAAAAATACACAAATTTTAGCTGGGTGTGTTGGTGCTCACCTATAGTCCCAACTACTTGGGAGGCTGAGGCAGGAGAATTGTTTGAACCAAGGAGGCAGAGGTTGCAGTGAGCCGAGATCGCACCACTGCATCCCAGCCTGGGTGAAAGAGAGAGACTCCATCTCCAAAAAAACCCACAAACAAAACAAACAAACAAAAAAGTATATTGAGATGGTTTTCTAGTTGATGGACTGTAAACATCTAGAGAAAGGAGTCTTACTTTGTGATTCACAGTAAGTCTAATACTGACTGATGGCAACGTTTTGCAGTCAGGACTTGCTTCATGTGAAAGGATCACGGTTCCCAGTGCCATGCTAGAGTGGTATTCCAAGGGGGATTTTAACCCTTCTTCCCACGTGACTCTCTCATTCTGAGTGACCTCCTGAAATCTACTGAGAGAGAGAGAATAGCTATTGCACATAGTAGAACATTCATAGTAGTAGTAAAGTGTTCATTTGTATATCATTATGTACACAAGAAATTCTCCCTTCTGGCTTTAATAAAAAAAATAGAGGCTAGAATTCCAGATAGTAACTGGGGCTAGATTTGGGGATCTGCTATTTTTCTGGTGGCAGGTCTTATACCAATTTTTTTTTTAAAAAAAGGTTTAATCTTTTGTTATTATTATTATTTTTTGCAGAGACGAGGTGTTGAAATGTTGCTCATGGCCGGGCTCAGTGGCTCATGCCTGTAATCATGCCAGCACTTTGGGAGGCTGAGGTGGGTAGATCATGTGAGGTCAAGAGTTCAAGACCAGCCTGGCCAACATGGTGAAACCCCATCTCTACTAAAAATACAAAAATTAGCTGGGCATGATGGTGGGCACCTGTAATCCCAGCTACTTGGGAGGCTGAGATAGGACAATCCCTTGAACAAGGGAGGTGGAGGTTGCAGTGAGCAGAGATTGTGCCATTGCACTCCAGCCTGGGCAACAAGAGCAAAACTCTGTCTCAAAAAAGAAAAAAAAATGTTGCTCAGGCTGACCTTGAACTTTCGGCCTTGAACGATCCTCCTGCCTCAGCCTCCCAAAGTGCTAGGATGACAGGCATGAACCACTGTGCTCAGCCTAAAAAGGTTTTAATAGGTAATAGTTACATGATTCAAATTGTTTTGAAAAGTGTCTACAGACTCAGAATTTAAAACAAGCATTTTCTCAGATTCTACATGCAGGAAGGAAAGGAGTACCTGGCAGTCTGCAGCCCAGCCTGACACACCCTAGGCTTTTAACATATGTCACTGGGGAGGGGAAATCTTATGACAATCAATCACTTGTGCCTGTGAGGGAGGCCTGCAGTCAGAAGTTAGGAAACTTCTAGAGCCATTTGTAAACATGGGTAGTGACATATCTTAAAACAGGTCATATTATTTTTCCAGAGGAAAGAAAACCTAAGAATTTCACTAGCTGATAAATCAGTTCCCCCTTCTTTACATACCGACAGCTGCTAATGCTAGCTGGTATTTTGTCATCAGTGTACAGTGAAAAGTCTACTTCCAGCCCCTGACTGCATCTGTCCATTTCTCAACTTGCCCCAGATAGCAACTGAGATCATTTTTTTTTTTCGAGACAGTTTTGCTCTGTTGCCCAGGCTGGAGTACAGTGGTGCAATCTTGGCTCACTGAAACCTTCGCCTCCCAAGTTCAAACAATTCTCCTGCCTCAGCTTCCTGAGTAGCTAGAACTATAGGCTCCTGCCACCACACTTGGCTAATTTTTGTATTTTTAATAGAGATGGGGTTTCACCATGTTGGCCAGGCTGGTCTCAAACTCCTGACCTCAAGTGATTCGCCTGCCTCAGCCTCCCAAAGTTCTGGGATTATAGGTGCGAGCCACTGCACCTGGCCTGAGTTCATTTTTTAATCTGTCTTTTCAGTTGCTTTATCTGTACACAAGAAAATTCAAATGTATATGTGTTCTTATTTATTTTCGTCTTTAAAATGCAAAAAAAAAAAAAAATTTACAAGTTGTCTGTGCTGTGCTTCCCTTTATTTTTACTTGTCAATATATCTCAGGGAGATTCCTGGGCAGTTTGTAAAGCAGTTCCTCGTTCCTTATTGCTTTAAAGAAGTATTGTATGGATTAACCCGTTTATTTAGTCAGTTTCCTCATTGATGGGCTTTTGAGTTGTTTCCAGTCTTTTGCCATTTCAAATGCTTCAGTGATGACCTTTATGTTCACACACCATCACACATGTATGTAAGATCACACATGTATCATCAGCATGGAGGCAGCCTTCATACTGATCAGAAACTATTCTCTACCTTCAGGGCTCCAGAGACCTGCCGGAGTGGAGTTTAGGGGAGACGCTGAGAAGCCGCAGAGGAGACTCTTGGCATTTATAGCTTTCTTCCTGAAGGGAGAACATGTTTTGCCAGCTCGTGGGTTTTCCTTGGAAGTCCCCTGAACCTTCTGGGAAGTATGTAATGACTCAAGCTAAACCTTGGGTGGCAATAGCAGAAAAACCCCTTCTCTTCCATTCATAATAACAATGCTTTTCCTCTGGATGTGCTAAAAAGATACAATGAGGATCATCTCATCTTTATGACTGAAAACCACTTGCTGTACGGCAGGAAAATGTCAGTGGGTGGTAATTCCTGCCTTGTAGTCTTAGCCCTGTAGATTAGAACAGGGCCAGCTAAGATGTGCTCCTAGTTCTTAAAACTTGAGTCCAAGAGGAAAATGATTATTAGAAACTAGGCCATTATTAATCATAGCCAAGGATGTCCTCCCTTCCTGCAAAGACTGAAGAGGTGACTTTAGCAAGAGAGCTTCTCCTAAGGGCCATGTGAGTATGAGAAAAAGTTTGGAACAAAAATAGGCAGCAATGGAGCCAAATCAAAAAGAGAGGAAAATGAGAAGCACTTAACCTGTATACAGTTATAAGGAAATGGTGATAGAATTATAAAATTCTTATAAAAGCAGGGCTTATAATTAGGAAAAAGCTAACATTTCCTAGGGATTAAGAGAATAGACCTTTCAAAGCGACACCCTCCCTCACTCCATCCCAGCTTTGGCCAGTTCTGAGTCCTGTGTGGGGTTTGATGGCTCTGGGCCCTCTTTGCCTGCCAACTGCTACTGGCCTCAAGCCCATTTCTTCCCCAAGCTGGAGCTGGGCTTCCTCTCTGCCCCCAGTTGTTCCCAGGTGTTAGTTGTCCACAGTTCTCAGCAACTCCTGTGGAAATCCTCTTACTTCTTTTTCTTTCCATGAGCACTTGTCCTCCCTAGAAAGTGTATGCTTTTGGGAAGCAAGTCCCATCCCTTGTCACTGAGTCCCAGACACATCTGGATCTAGACAACACACGATGGGCTGGCCAGAGAGCCAGGAGACACTTCAGGATGTGTCTTGGGCAAAACTCATTCTGAAGACTGTAATGAGCAGCAGAGGCAGATACTCCTGGGCCCTGGCAGAATGGAGGTGACACAAGTCACCAGGGTGCTTCATGGAAGGAGACTCTTCAATAGTGTCCTCCAATCCCGCTCGCCCATTGCCAGAATTCCGTTACTTGTCTCTAGGGTGGCCTTTGACATTGACCTTTCTCTTCTGTCTCTCCACATCTCCCCGTTACCCACTGCTGCCAAAAACTGCCTTTTTCTTTTTTTAAAAAAAATTATTTTGTTATTTTTCGAGGCAGAGTCTCGCTCTGTCAGTGATCTGAGCTCACTACAACCTCTGCCTCCTGGGTTCAAGCGATTCTTTCTTATGCCTCAGCCTCCCAGGTAGCTGGATTACCAGTGCATGCCACCATGCCCAACTTATTTTTGTGTTTTTAGTAGATACAGGGTTT